CTAAATTTTTATTTGCATCAAGTAAATGGCTATCTATAAGACTGCTTGTCATCTATAATTCCACTTAAAATTAACATAATTCTGTCTTCTAGTCTCCATTTCACTTGCTCTGCTGGCCAGACTCATCCGATTCTTGTCAGTTATATTCAGTCTGTACTAAAATGAAAAAGCCTGGTAATGTCCATCTGGTGAACTGCCTCTTCTATGCACTCAGTATATACTTTGGTTCCCAAGTCAATTATTCCAGTGATGCCAAATATCCAAAAGCCTTTTAGACAGGTTTGGACCTGAGATTTATACTAAATATAATACTTGCTATATTTTTCTGGACATTCTCCACTTACTTCATTGCATCTCATACAATGTGATACATCTCTCATAAGGAAAATGCAAAGAAAGAATGGATTACCTAGGCAAAGGACTCAGAAAATATTACACTTAAAGGAATAGATCACTTGGCTGCTTAGCTCAAACTTACAGTCCACTTGGTGCTTAGTAATATACAATATGTTTCCTTCTTAACTTTTTAAGTCCTCGTGTTTGACCTATTGACTCTCTATTGCATAACCTAAGGGTCTGACCAAGTACAGTAATATGAGTCTCTCAAACCATCCCTAATGCACACGTCAGCTAAAGGTGTCTGTGCTCAATCAAATACACATTTGCTGAGTGTCTGCTATGATCTAGGAACTATACAGCATATATAAACGTGAGCATGATATGTCACTAACTTTTTTGGAATTCAGAGTTTAGTTAAGAGAGAGACATAGAAACCAAAAGAACTATAATAAAGATACATTAAAAACGTCCCTTGGAACATGAAAGAAGGAATCAGATTTATACCTGGGAATTGTGGGGAAAGTTTCCTAGGGGAGATGACAATCTGCATCTTAAATGATAAAGAGGTATTAAGGAGGGCAGTGATGGTAATAATGACAGACACTAAGACATTAGCATATATGTAATTTATAAGAATCTTGGAAATCAGATCACTACTCAAAAGTAAAATTTATTCTATCCTATATTTAGTTCAATAGACAGCAAAACTACTTCAGTATAATGGAAAACTCCTATACTGTGAACACTCAATAAAATATTACACAAGTCAAAAATGTGAGAACCTTAATGACGGAAACACACAAATAATGACATAAAGTTTCCAAGTAATTAACTTTTACCTACCTATTTAAATGTAGCCCTCCTCAGAGACAGCAAAATGGTTTTGCTCACTAGTCTATTCTCCAAAATTTCGTTGTGTATGTGAAGCTTCATAATCAAATTTGAAACAAAATTTGGATGATAGTATAAATACACAGGACTCTGAGACACACTGTTTTCCCCCAAAACATACCAATTAGGTAATTAACAGGAGGTATTGTCAGAATACCACAAGTTAGGTTAATACAAGTCTGGAGGATGGAAAGCAGAGGAAATACATCAATAGTGGGCATTCAAAAGGCTAAAGTGGCCTGAGTATGAGCACCTGCTAGACTAACACGCCTTCTAAGCTACAATGAAAGTCCCCCCAAAGTGTCTCATTTATTTACTGGTATATTGTAAATCAGGAAAATACCTCATACTAGGATCCCAACATTAGTCATTGGCAGATACATTAGAAACTCGGGCTCTGATTCATCAGGTAACCATGGTTTTAAATCTTATCACTGAATCTGAGCCAAGGACACAAACTAACTAGAATCTCTTTTCAAATTTCTCAGGAAATTTTAGATAAAAATTAATTGTTAAATAATATTATATGCTTATATATTATATTATTATATATTATAATAATAATATATGCTTCTTATTGAAATGTGAACCTTTTGGCACTCATGGGCCAAAATACTACTACTAAGAAATATCTTAGAATATAGATTTGACTCGACAACCCATTTATTTTAATTTCCCCAAATTCCTAATAATACAGCAAATAGTGAAATCTCATAAATCAAATATCTTAAAGTTGACAGCACATTTTCCAAATTATTTTATCTTCATGATAGCCTTATGATGCAGATAAATAGTTATAATTTTCCTCCATCTTACTGGAAAGGAAAGATGAAAAAAAGACTGAGTGACTTATCCAGGATAACACATTACGTTAGAAACAGAGTAGAAGTAAAATTCAAATTTCTATTCACTCAATCAGAAAATATTGTGAATCTGTTATATGAAGGGCACCATGGGGAAGAGAAGTGCCAATGCAACAGAAACTCTACCATTAAGGAAACTACAGTCCTATTATAACAAGAGAAAAACTGAGAGAGTTTGCTAGATACTGCAATAAAGGAACACATGGACTGTGTTATAATGAAATAGCAGGCATACAATGTTGAGTTAATGCTGGAGTTAAAGAACTCTCCACTGAGGAGGTGTTATATGGCGTTTGAATTGGGCTTTGGAGGTATGGAGTGGGAGACAGGAAATGGTGAAGGTCATTATGGGCTGAGCAGAGTGAGAAAGACTTAAGAAATATATGGAATATTTGCATAAAATTAAGTATACCGGTATTTTTTTCAAATGTCAGACGTGATAATATATATTTAACCTAACTCGAGCCCAAACATGAGATTTAATTTAAAAATATATCCAGCAGAGGCTGGAAGTTGTTCCCCATTAAACTACCTTTCCCCACAGTCAAGACTCCCACGTGTTAGCTGGGAAGGCGGCTCCTGCCACCGACTATATCCTCCAGCTCTCCTTCCAGTTAAGCGCAGCTACGCATCCGGCCGGCGACGCAGGAGGAAGGCTGATGCACTCGGCTTCCAGGTCGCATCAAAGCGGCTGCACAGGCCCCTTCCTCCAGCTGCTTCTCGAGGCGTGGGTTTGCTGGCAGGCCGTATTAGACCGCGGGATGAGAAAAACTCCTGAGGGCAGCGGAGAAGCAGCCCGAAGGACCCTGGCCCCTGGATATCTTGATACAGCCAAGTTATTTCATCATTCCCTGGACTCTCTACCTTGAGACCACATTAGGAGAAAGGACCTTTCATTCGATTTAACCACTTATTTTGGGACGCCATGCTACCCATGCAAACATGTATGCTAATTTATATAAACATTGCCTTATGCTATAAGGTAAATAAAAATTAAAAGTAATTTATCGGTTCTCAGTTCTCAAAACCTGAGAAAATAATCTGAAAATATTTAAATTAATTGCAAAGCATTTAATATAATCTGCAATATACAACTGTAATAGACTTTCAAATTTATTTTTAAATTTTAATCTATATAACCAACCCAGGTAGCAGAAAGATCAGAGATCAATATTATTATAAGTGAAGAGTAAGACAATGTATCATGAATTCATTACAAAAAGCCTTTGAGAGCTCCATATTTTATTGGGTTTAACCTCATTTAATCCATAAAATTATCATTACATCTGTTCCATACTGCATTGATATAGTCAAGGTCCATTTATAAAGAAAAGCTAAGTGAGTTATTAATGCCAGGAAAAAGAATCAATAAATGAAAACTAGGTTTTCGCTGTACGTTCACACTAGCTGACAATGTTTTCGTTTACCCACTGGACATCTCAGGCAACTCAACGTTAATGTGATTACAGTTAAATACTTAATTGTCATCCATCTTATCTTTTATAGAGAACAGAGGAAAATTTAATATGTCAGCGTAACTATATTATCACAATGTGAGTGAAGAAACAGAATGGGCTGTGAGAGTCCAAACGGAAAATTCCGAGACGAGAACGAGGGGTGCTGAACAGCCCGTGGGCATCAACTGTCTGCGGGCCAATCTACAGCCCTGGCTTCACGTATCACCGCGTATTGCAGGCCTTCCAAAGAATAAATGGAATAAGCATATTTAATAAAATGATCTACGGCACTGTGCCTTATAGAGCTCACTGGCTTTCTACATCCGCCCACAGAGGCAGGAACATAAGGCGCCACAGCCGCTTCCCCTGTTCTCACTGTTCTCCTTTGGCCAAGGTCTTGAAGGCAACAAGAAGCCAATGAGTAGATCAAGAAGAGTAGATCAAGAGTAGATCACCATCCGAAGTATACATTACAGTACAATCTCTCTTGTACCCCTAATTCCTGCCAACGGTGTTACAAATATGTACTATTGAAAGCAAATAAAATCAGGTAATAGACAGTGACTAGATCAATGGAAACCCATCACTTCAGGAAAATCAATTGGAAGACGTGTCCCTTCTAATAGTACCTTAGAGTAGAAGATTTATCTTTTCTTTATATGGTCTGGCCTTTATTTACTACTGGGCTTTTGTACATTCTTCTCTAATTCTGAAATGATCAGTCTCTTCTAAGTTTAAAGTCAAATATTTACTAGTTCTATTATGGTGGACAACTCATCTTCTCTAAGCCTTATTTATTGATATGTAAAATAAAAATTTAAGACTATATGATCAGCAACGTCCTTACCAGAAAAAACATGTTATAGTTCTGACTTAAACTTCATTCACCTCTTAGATTTCATCCTTATATAGCACAGGCTGTTCTGAATGTCTTCTGTTTTTAGAGAGGCTTGCTTTCAAATAAATTCTCAAAAGCATGGCTTAAAATTGGGACAGTAATGACACCGGCAAATGGCTCCTTGTATAAACCATTCCTGACTTTACCAAAGGGTGTGATTCCTCAGCCATGAGGAATTATTTAACCCACTACTCTCTTATCACAAGAAACACTTCTAATTCATGACCAGGTGGTTGAAAACTGGGTAAGGGAAAGACGGATTTAAAATTTAGATAATGATCTGCTCCTACTCAAAATTCTGCAGACACTACTTCACAATTCCTCATCACTGTCTTATGAGAAAAGGTAAGAATATTACTGTATCTAACATACGTACTAATTTATAAAACTTTGAGAATTAAAAGTTATAAGTGGCTGACTCAAAAGAATGGTGTCCTAAAAAAGTAAATTAAGTAAATACTAAAATTTAAAAATCAAGTTAACATTTCCAATATGAAGGATGGATAAAAGAAGTGAGCGGTCAAATCTACCCTAAGTAATTCCAAATAGCACTTTCTGTGTTCCTGATTCAGCACTTCCCTTGTTGGGGTGGAAGTACAGGGGGATTCCCAAGTGATCTTTGCTAATCTTAAAACTTAACAATGTAAAATTTGAGCCATTTTGAAACTATCCCACTAACAACTTGTTCCACTAAATCTTCATGAATGTCATTTTTTTATATATAGCAATCATCAGGTTTCCTTTCATAAACACAAATTACGCAACAAATTGACCGATAATCATTGTACAAATTGCTGTATTCCATGCAGACATGCTACAGAAGAACTAAGCCGTGGGTTCAGACTAGCCCCGGTGGCCAAGGGAGAATGTGCTCGGCCTGGAAATTTCACACCTGTCTTCTGCAAAAATAAAAAACAAAGAGCGGTGTTTTCATACCTCCTGGTGGAAATACAATAAGTGGATGAGATGAGGAAGGATGGATAAGTGGTGATGATACAGATTACCATAACAGTAAAATGTATCTGAGTATGCTCTGCTTAAAAAATGTCCTTAAAAATGCAGTAATGCTGCTTCTGGAATTATACTCACTTATTCAAGCAGGCCTCCTTCCCTTTCCCCAGATGCATCTCTTAAACAAAGAGCAATGTTACTAACTTAGCCTCCCCTCCCCCTGCCTAAGCATGATTTAGTCGGTCCCATCTACTTTCACTTAGTTGTTTCACAAGTGTAGTGACTGCCACCCTCTACAATTGCCTTTTGGACTATCTACATTTTGTTAGCAACACACTTTGACTAGTCATAGTTAGTGAGTTCCCCAGAAACAATTTCCAATCTATAAATTCAATATCGATAAAATGGTAAGAGTCCTATGCAGTCCTTGGTTCTTCCATTACACAAGGTATGTGTCCCACCCTCCTTGCATTACCTTCTAAAACAAACGGTGAGATGTTGCATTTCAGGCCTTGCTGCTGCCCAAGGGTCACTCACAGTCCTACTCCCCATGATGGAGAAGCATAGCAGAGTTCACCTGAGGCTGTGTCCTCCAAACCTAAGGGGGCTATGGAAAGATTTTCACCCTCCAACCCTATTTACAATTCGGCTATAAACGGAGTCTCAATACACCTATATCTACAGGCTTGTCTTGAATATCAGTAATACATAAGACACTCAACAGTTAGCCAGACAAACTGCTAAAGAGGCTGGAGAGGGTTTATTTAATAGGATTATATAACCAACCCTTTGCTCCATCAAAATTTTCCTAGGCTCGCACTACAGGTATTTAAAAAGGTCAAGTGCAACTGGTTCTGAATCAGACATCAAATCCTAAACTTGTCACTTGCTAGCTGGATAAATTGCCTCAGTTTCCCTATCTGTAAAATGGGAAATATAGTACCATCAATCCACTTCAAAGATTCTTAAAAGATAATTCATGGAAAGCCCTTAACATNATAGTACCATCAATCCACTTCAAAGATTCTTAAAAGATAATTCATGGGCCTAATATAAGTTTGTGATTTTTTAAAAATGTAAGGTATTCTTTTAATCATCAGCCTGTACTCATTAATTTGGTTGACATACTACATAAAGCATGGTATCAACTAAGCATTATGCCAAACAAATTAATCAAGACAAGGATGTGTTTTCCTTACCTTAATGAGCTTATATTTATGAGAGAAAGACACTGCTTCTTGGCATGTTGGAAAATAATACATTTTATTAAGAATTCAAGAGAGAATTTAGAAACTAAACTTAAAAACTAAAAAACAAACAAAAAAGCATTATTCACTGGGCTGAAAACATGCTTCACAGAGAGCAGTTAAAAGACCTAATGAAATGACACATAGAAGAATGGTCTGTCACCATGCTGTTAAACCATCAAAAGCAGGGACCACATTTTATTAATTCAGCAACTTCTACAGTCTCAAGAACAAAGCATGTGTGTAATAAATGTTCATGGAATGAATACATGCCTTAAAGCTTCCACAAACCCCCCCCAGGATCTTACCCAGTATATAAGGTATTTAGTTCATTAAATTCATGTTATAATATCTATATCTCCACAACTTTATTTTCATTTCTCTGATTTCCTTTAACTTTACTACCAAGCACCTGGCAAAGCTCAGTACCTCCACACCTGAGTACTTGAGCCTGGGCAGAAAATAAAAGCCAACAGATAGAAAAGAAAGCAGAACCAAAACAGAAGCCATGCACAGCACTCAGAATAGGCCTTAACTTAAAAAATAAATGTTAATAGAAATCACCTAAATTTCAGTCGGATTCCCAGTCAATAACTATCAATTTGATTTTGTATAGGCATCTCAGGGGTGTGGGATAAACAGTCCTTAATTGTCCTGAAAGAACTAAAACTTATTCTTAGGATTTATGCACTGTAGCTTTTAAAAAAACTGCCTTAACAAAATGTCATAATTTTCATTCCTCTAAAAACAAATCAACTATAAAAAGAAGTCCCCATGTCAGCATATCAACTGTTTTGCATTTGAATTATGTTGTCAAGTTCAAAACAACGAAGCAAAACTAAAGTCATTTAGGCATGTGGCAATTAAGAGCACAAGCAATGAAATGAAGAGATAAAGAGAAAAACACCACTAACAAAATAATTAAATAAAACCACCCCAGTTAAATGCCTATTCCTCCACAAAGATTTTCACCTGCATAGGATCCTTACAAAGGCTCACATACAATGTAATTTTATATCCATTTCTGCTTCTATTTCTGCAATGAAATATTTATAGAGAGCTCAGGATTTCTGGAGTAAATTATACCTAGATCTTGATAAAGCTGAAATCACCTAAATTACCTTTTTGTTCAATTACTTGGAAGAATGGAGAAAGAAAGCTTGACAAAATAAAAAGGCGCACTAAAAAATGGCTATTTCGTAGCTATAATTGCATACCTTAGTGAACATTGATGCCTTGAGGGTTATATGCACTCACCACAGCTATTTTTACCAAAGGCCTCAAATAAAATTCAAATCAATTCATGTTATGTGACTATACACATTATAATAGAACACAAAACAACCCAAATATTCTATCGGTTTATGTTAGGAATAACATATGAAAACACACACTAGAAGTATATAAAAATGGAGACACAGTACAGTATTAAGCATACTGTTATGAGAATAATACCTTCCAAGCTGAATCAGATACTCAAAGTTCTATAAATATTCTTATGGTATGCCATCGATTCTGGAAATGTAAAGTTCCAAATTCTGAGTCATTGTTACGAACTGAATTTTTGTATTCTCCTCCCTGACAAAAATTCCTATGTTGAAGCCTTAGCCCCTAGTGTAGCTATACTTGGAGATGGGGCCTTGATCTGATAGGAGTAGCCTGCTTCTAAGAAGAGACATCAGAGAGTTCACTCTCTCTCTGCCCACACACATCAAAGAAAGGCCATGTGAGGACAGAGCCAGAAGGTGGCCATCTGCAAGCCAGGAAGAGAGGCCTCACCCGAAATCTACCCTGCTGGGCCTCTTGATATGGGACTTCTAACCTCCAGATTTCGAGAAAATAAATTTCTATTATTTAAGCTATCCTATTTACGGTGTTTTGTTATGGCAGCCTGAGCAGACTAAACCAATCACACAACTTCAATCTGGGAACCAGGAAAAGTCCTGTTCCAAATTTTTACATTAGTGCGAGGCATTTTATCTGAAAAGGGCCTCCTCCCCATTCAGCAATCCATCTTACAGCCTCTTATGGACCAATGTGATAACTACCAGAAGTGTATGTGAGTGTGTGTGAATACACCCCCCCACACACACAGCACAGTTCATGAATGCTTCATGGGGCTCTACTTCTACTTTCCAAATCATGAAAAGATAACGGGGGAAATTTCACTGTGAAAGCAAATAGTCAGCTGTAGCTGCAATACCAGATGCTTGAACATAAAGGCTTTTAGGTGGCCCAAATCCAGATTGATTAGGTATATGCTAAGGAGTTCAAAATTGACCTCACAGGGTAAGGTTTCATGTAATTATTTTTATCTCAGGAACTGCTTCCACAGTAATTATTTCAATCACATTGTCAGTATAAAAAAATAACTAAGTAAAAATAAAGTTTATTTATGACAAATTACTTAGTTATTTTAAACAATTAGTGATATCCATGTATACATTATGAATTCTTACATACAAGTTTTGTACCAGTTAATTTAAAAACTAATTATGTAGAAAAAAGCATATAATGCCAACCAACGACATATTAAGTGACATATTTTGGGAGGAACCAAATGTATATAAAAATGACCAGACTGGAAATTCAAAATATCTCACCTAATTGTAAAGTATAATGTATGCTTTCATTCTTCATATCATTCTTCATATCATAAGCCCTACTTTATCAGAATATCATGCATTTATTCAGATACCATCTAACTAGGGAAAAAGTATTATACTGGTTTTATCTAATTATCACCAAACATAGAACTGACAGTATCTTTTGATTCATAGTTTAATAGCTGCAATATATTCTCTGGAATGTTGTCTGCTATCAGTTAAGAAATGCTACAATAAGTGGTAGTTTTTGAGAAAAAATGGATTTAAAAGGGGGGAGACCATGTTTAAAGAGATCAGATAAAAAGATAATGTGTTAACCTAGTTAAGAAATTATGTGTTTGACCCATTTTGTGTATGGTGACAAGTAGCAGTCAGTATCACTCCCCAAAAATTGAAAACATTTATTCATAAAGATATATACCCTTATGTTCACTGCAGCATTATTCATGGTGGCGAAGGCATGGAAACAACCAGTGTCCTTTGATAGATAATTAGATAAAGAAGATATGATACATATACACAACAGAATATTACTCAGCCATAAGAAAAAATGAAATATCGACATTGCAACAACATGGATAGATCTTGAGAATATCATGCTAAGCAAAACGAGTCAGACAGCAAAAAATCAAAAACCATCTATTTCACTCATATGTGGGATATAAAACCAAAAACAACAAATGAACAAACAAAAATGCATAGACACAGGCAATGGTATGGTGGTTACCAGAGGGAAAGGGGGGCGGAGGGA